GTCTGACTGACCCTGCTGTACGCTGTGGTCTGACTGACCCTGCTGTAGGCCTACGTTGTTACTACTCAGTCAGGTCACAGGCCCGGTACTCTGCTCTCTCAGCGGTGAGCAGTGACATCTCAGGAATATTTAGGTAGGGAATATCCAGAGCAGTTGACAGGATTTCCACGGGATGGGTTCAGAGGTCACAGAGGTCGTGACTGACAGAAGCTGCTGTCTACTCCAGCTCCCTGATCCCAGCTTCAAACCAGGGTCCCTGTTAACTCCCCTTGTGAGCATAGACCTCTGGTGTGGCTCCTTAGGCCACGGGAGTCCTGATAGTCTGTCTTCTCTCCTGGCCTCTGTGATGGGATAACAAACTACTGAGTCATCCAGAACAAAATAAGGAAAAAGTGCATGGAGCAGGTGGACAAGACAAGTCAGCTGTGGACTTCTGAGATGTCCCCATGACCACGTGAAACCCAGACAGTCGGAGCATTCTGCCCGTCCACACGCCAGTACCCACCAGCCTCATCCTCGTTTGTGAAGAGAGACAGATCAGGATGTGGTGGTGTGGGCTTGTATTCAGTGGTAGAGCTCCTGCCTAAAATCTTCCAGTGAGGAGCTGGGTGTGGCCCAGAGCCTCTGCTTACTCTACATGAGACCCTGGCTCCATTCCCAGACCAGAAGGTGGGAATGGCTCCTTGTCCTGTGAGAATGTGCATACCCTGGAGAAACCGTCTCCTGTCTCATAGACTTAGGATACCTGGTCCGTGACGCTTGGAAGTGGCCGAGGTGTGTCCAAACCGAGCTGGGTCCTGGGTCCCCTGTGCGCTGTTTTGGGTCTTCACCCTTTCTGACTCTGCTCCTAACAGAGTGTCACTGGCTTCGGGCGGCAGATGATTGAGAAAACCAAGCAGCTGGTGGAGTCCAAGTACACCGTAGACAATGGCTACGGAGCCGACGCCAAGGTCAGGGTCTGGGCACAGCCGGCTGCTCTCCAGGGTCCTTGGACTGCCTACGTGACAGGAACATGCCTCTTACATGTACCCCGGCAGGTGGTCTACGGCGACACTGACTCTGTGATGTGCCGATTTGGTGTCTCCTCTGTGGCTGAGGCAATGTCTCTGGGTCGGGAGGCTGCCGGCTGGGTATCAAGTCACTTCCCGTCACCTATCCAGCTGGAGTTTGAGAAGGTGCGTGTGCCCTGCCTCAGCTCAGTGCAGACATTGGGGTCTCGGCAGTCAGTCTTTTTTCACTGTGTGCCTACAGAGCTGATGCTGCAGGTGTGGGAGTCTTGCAGTGCTCTGGGTTCTGAGACTGAGGCCTCCCTTGCACAGACCTGTGGTGTGCGTGGGTCCTGCGGTGCTGCTCAAACACGCACCCCTGGCTGCTCCCGTGCTTGGGTCTGGGGCCATCTCAGCTCTGGACTCACTCGGCTGTCTCCTCTCATGGCTTTGAGACTTCGCTATGTAGCCTACCTGGGTTTCATGATTTAGGGGCCAGCTCTAGGCCTATGGCATGATGTCTAGTGAGGGTCCTAGGGTGCTGGGGGGTATCGGGCCTCCTAGGGTTCATTTCACCAAAGGCAAGGGCCTTCCTTGCCTGTCCTGCTTCTGATGGGTCTTGGGATTGGAGGTGAGGGAAAGTGCTCAGGGTTACCACCCTTGGGTCCCTTCTAGGTTTACTTTCCATACCTGCTCATCAGCAAGAAGCGCTATGCTGGCCTGCTCTTCTCCTCTCAGCCTGATACCCATGACAGAATGGACTGCAAGGGCCTGGAGGCTGTGCGCAGGGACAACTGTCCCCTGGTGGCCAACCTTGTTACATCCTCGCTACGCAGAATCCTCGTGGACCGGTGTGTGTGTGTGTGTGTCCCACCTAAACCAAGAAACCAACCTGCCTCAGACCCATGGGCCCAGCAGCCTACCCTGGGGATAGAGGTGTCTTGCTGTGACGGTGAGGCAGTGGTGAATTAGACTGGTGACACTGTCCATCGTCTCAGGGACCCTGATGGTGCAGTGGCCCATGCCAAAGATGTCATCTCAGACCTGCTGTGCAACCGCATAGACATCTCCCAGCTGGTCATCACCAAGGAGCTGACCCGTGCAGCAGCAGACTACGCGGGCAAACAGGCCCACGTGGAACTGGCTGAGAGGTGGGGCAGTCACACAGCCTTCTGCAGCTGGGGCCATTCAGCCCTCCCCAAACCTCACCCACCTCCCTCCCCTATCCGCAGGATGAGGAAGCGTGACCCCGGCAGCGCACCCAGCTTGGGTGACCGAGTCCCCTATGTGATCATTGGTGCTGCCAAAGGCGTGGCTGCCTACATGAAGTCGGAGGTCAGGCCCACCTGGGCTGTGCCCCTCCCAGAATCTCACTTCTGCTTTCCTTTGGGCGGTCGAGCCCCTGGGCCTGACCGTAGTGCCTCCTTGTACAGAGTTGGCTGCTGTGCCATCTCCGCCCCTCCCCGCTCTGGGTGCCAGCACCTCTGTTTGCTTTTATCTTCTCAAGCCACCCAGTGAACAGTGACCTGATTCTCAGCCTGTGACTTCTGACCCCTGCACCCCGTCCATGACCCTTCCTTCTCACGCGGGGAAGCTGATTCTTAGTGACCTCCCGGGCCAGAGCCATCACACCCCGAGGGTATTGTCCATAGCTCCACCCTGGCCCACTGGTAACCGCAGCCTGCCCACAGGACCCCCTGTTTGTGCTGGAGCACAGCCTGCCCATCGACACGCAGTACTACCTGGAGCAGCAGCTGGCCAAGCCGCTGCTGCGCATCTTTGAGCCCATTCTGGGCGAGGGCCGTGCGGAAGCCGTGCTGCTCCGTAAGTGGGACCCCGAGGAGGGGTGTGGGCGAGAAAGGGGCAGGGCAAGACTGTCAGCTCCTCTCCTATAGGTGGTGACCACACACGCTGCAAAACTGTGCTCACCAGCAAGGTTGGTGGCCTCCTGGCCTTTACCAAGCGTCGCAACTGTTGCATTGGCTGTCGCTCTGTGATCAACCATCAAGGTGAGACCCAAGACAGCGTTCCTACACCCACTGGTGGGGCTCTGCCACAGGATCCATTCTGCCTGCACTCCAGCGAAGGGTCCTCGCCCGCTCCGGGTTTCCCCAGGGGAGTTTTCCCCACACACTCAGGCCCTTGTTCTCTAGCCTCTGGGGACTTTCAGAAGCCGGGATGGGCAGCGGGTGGAGAAGAGCAGAGATGCAGGGATGGAGCTAGGGCCTGGCTCAGTCCCAGCACCCTGTGCCGATACCCACCCCTCCCCCAGGAGCTGTGTGTGAGTTCTGTCAGCCACGGGAGTCAGAGCTCTACCAGAAGGAGGTGAGTGAGGTAGGGGCTGGAGCTGGGGCAGGCCTGGTCCCCACAACCCTGCTCAGCCCGCTGTGTGTCCTTAGGTGTCACACCTGAATGCCCTGGAGGAACGCTTCTCGCGCCTCTGGACGCAGTGCCAGCGTTGCCAGGGCAGCTTGCATGAGGATGTGATCTGTACCAGGTGCACCCTCCCCCACTTGCTACCAGACTCCTGACCCAGCGGGGAGACCTCACTGAAGAGTGGGCAGGGTCTGCCTGGGCTAGGCGCCTGCACAGCCTCCCCTAGGGTGGGGCCGGGCTTTCCCCAGGGAACGGGCGGGTGGGGCGCGTTCCCACGCCAGGTGACAGCTGATATACGGCTGGCTACCTCTCGGGGCACTGCTGTTATCGGCTTCCCTGTGCCCGCTAAGCAAACAGCCCCCTCCCCTGGGTGGGCAGCAGGTAGAGGCCAAAGTCCTGGGAACGGCCCCTGACCACCACCCTTTGCAGCCGCGACTGTCCCATCTTCTACATGCGCAAGAAGGTACGCAAGGACCTGGAGGACCAGGAGCGACTGCTGCAGCGCTTTGGACCTCCGGGCCCTGAGGCCTGGTGACCCGACAAGGGGCAGAGAATAAAGTTCAGACTTTTTGCTACTGGCTGTGTGTTGTCTCGGGGAACAGATTGGGTTTCATGGGGCCTCGGTACCTCTACCTGTGCCCACACAGGGCTGGCATCTCTGTTTCCCTTCTGAAAACCTGAGTAAGATCCCACCGCTCTGCTTTGCTCCTCCTCGTCGGGCTGGTGGTCACCCAGCTGGCACCGGGTGCTGTCCTGTTTCCTTCAGGCCTGGGGTAGCTCTTGGCACACAGACTTCCACACCTCAGGGCAGCAAGGGGACCCTCCCTGACGCTGGTACTTCCACCATGGGGTCCTGGTGGTCCGTCTGCCTGGGCTTCCCCACGGCTCTTGGGAGATCCCCTGTCCTCACAGCTGTTCCTGGGCCTCACTGCCCGTGTCATCTCGCCCTGGTCACCGTTGGCTCCTTCCTGTGGCACCCTCTTCCCAGGGCCTGCAGCCCCTCATGTCCTTGCCCTTTCTCAGAAACTTCTCTCTCCACCCCTTGGTGTCAGCCCTTCATCCCCAATGGTGGGGAACCCCAAATCCAGATGGCTCCTAGGCCCACCCTCCCTGCCACGTGACCAGAGGGTTGTGCAATCCAGACCCCTCCCCGAGGGGATTTTTGAGGAGGGCCCCCGTGGCCCGCCCCTGGGGGGTGGGGGCTGGGCCAAAGTATATATAGGGGTAGTGGCCAGAGCCAGCCCAGCCTGCCCTGAACCACCATGCTTGCTCTGGAGGCTGCACAGTAAGTGGGTAATCCCCAAACCTGTACTTGGGACCCCCACCCCATCAGCACCCTCAGCTTCTGTGCCCCCCTAAGGCAGGTGGTAAGGGGTGGCCTCACCGTCTACAGAGGACAGTTCTCCCATCAACTCTGTCTTCCTAGACAGGTTTCCAAAGATGGCATGTTCTGGAGACATTCGCCCCCATCCTGCCCGGGTCTTCCCAGGTGTGCCGTCTGTCCTCTGTAGTATCGCTCGCTCCATTTCTGGCGCTCTCTGCCCCTTGAGTTTTGTGTTTCTATTTCCTCCTGTCTAACTGTTCTGTACGGCTCCTGGCACCACCCTGGCGGCCATCCTGAAGCACAAGAAACGCAGTCCCTTTGCTCTCCCCACCAGTCTGTTTCTAGCCCTGCTCTTCAGTGCATTGCTTCCTCTAGTCTCAGCAGGACTTGTGAAGACACTCAAACCAAGCCCTCTGGCCACCCTGTCCCCAGGCAGCTGGGGACTTTCTCCCTCTTACTTTCCTTGCCTCCCCCCAGTGTCTGTGCATGCAAATCCCAGGGGTAGTGGGGGACATTTGCCTGGCACCCGCCCCCTACTTCCTGTCCTAATGGGGTTGTGGGGGTGACTGTGGGAAGGCTGGGCGCACACAAGGACAGCCCACAGACTGCAGAGCTGTGGCGGAGGTCACAGCTGCCACCACCTCCCCTGTGGGCCCCACAACCACTTTGAGGCTCAGGTGGCTGAGGGCAGCCCTGACATGCCCCTGTGTCTCTCCCCAACCAGGCTGGACGGCCCACACTTGAGCTGTTTGGTGAGTCTGAGCCCCGGGGAGGGTGGGGGTGCCTGTGTGGCCGACCTAAGATCATCTACTTCTGCCTCAGTTTCCAGTCTCTGTCTCCCCAGACCCCCATCCCCACTTCATCTCTCTGCTATTTTTCCGTTACCTGAGGTTACTTCCTTGACCTTGTGTGCCTGTCTGGTCCATGTTCTCCGTGTACAATCCCTGCTTTGGGGTTATAGATCTTACATCTTTTAACTGTAGAATCTAGGACACCAACTATTTTCCTCGACGCTTTTGAACTCTCAACAACGAGACCTTTTGTATGGTGGCACGAAGTCCCTACTTCTTTGAGTTTTGTTGGACTTTTTTGTTTGTTTTGTTTTAATTGAGACAGGATCTCTCAACTGGTTTCAAACTCATGATCCTCCTGCCTCAGCCTTCAGAGTGCTGGGGATTATACCTGTAAGACACCTGCTGTTGGTTATTTAAAACTGACGTATTGTGTGTACATCAGGGAGTGTCTTCATTGTGTACACTGCTGTAGCCATTACTAGACCCAGATCTAGAAAATTTCCATCATTCTAGAACATTCCCTGGTATCCCTTCCTATGTGATCTCACCCAATATGTTACATGATTCGTGCATAGGTCTTTTGGGCACCTGCCCTCTTCCCACCCACAGTGTGTTAGGTACCCGTTCTTTGCCGCTGCGTGGTCGGCCACCCAGCAGTAAACCCCACAGCCCCAGGCTGCTCCATCTGCCTGTGTGAGCAGGAGAGTGTGCGGGAGTCATCTTCGTGAACTTAGGAGTTCATCTGCACTGCTTTTCCAACGGCTGTGGCTGAAGCAACACACGGTTAGAGAAGGTGCTGCATGTCTGTCACCCCAGGGTGAACAACTGCTTTAAGTTCTGGGCCAGCCTGGGCTACAGAGTGAGTTCCTGGGTACCAGTCGCACACTGGGAACTACTAGGGTTCCTTGAGGGTCACAGCCGTGGCAGATGCTGGCTTCAGGGATTCGATCTCTGTCTCTGTTTCTGTCCTTCCTCTCCCTCCTCTCAACTGTCAGTCTTCCCAAAGGCTGGGGAGCGGGGAGTCTCCGAGGTCTGGGATGACTCTGTCTTCACCCCAGCAGTACCCAGAAGGTGTCTTCTATGACCTGGACAACTGCAAGCCCTTCAGTTACCCAGATTCAGATGGGGGCCCTGGTGAGTGACCCAGCTTCCTAGCACCCTGGGCTCAGTTCACGCGGGGTGGGGGTGAGGTCCATAGGAGCGCTCCCTCATCATGGCAGCCCCTCCCCAAGCCACCTCCCTACCCGCCCCATTCCATCTGCTCCCCCATGCAAATTCTGGGGTCAGAGATTTGCACAACTTACAAAGGCCCCTCTGTGTGGGATCTTGAGGGTGCCGGCCTTCTGCCCACCTTCAATTACCGACTCTAACCCTTCTTTTAGACTCCACATGGGGCTGGACAGAGGCCCCACCTGCCTCCGCCATCGCCCCCTATGAAGTCTTCGACCCTGCTACGACTGCCTTTGCCCACTCCCAGGCTGTGCAACTCTGTTACGGTCATGGTCTCGGCCCCTCTGCCTACAGTCCCGTGGGGACCCTTGACCCAGCCCCCAGCCTGGAGGTTCCAGGGCCTGACCTCCAGGTGTACCCCTCAGAGGACTTTGTCAGCCAGGTGAGGGGCAGGAGGGAGACTTCCCACCTCATATTTCTTCTACAACTCTCTGAAACGAACTTCTGGATTGAGCCTGGGTGGGGATACAAGGACGCCCTTCTGAGGTAGTTCCTGGACCCACGTCATCTTCTGACTGTGTAGCTTTGGGCAACCGCCTTAACTTCTCTGCGTATTGAGATAACCAAGGCCAGTGTCCACACTGTACAGGAAGACAGTGAGGGCTGCAGAGGTGGGGGAGGGGGGAGAATGAGGGAGTGATGTGGAGGTGACCCTGGTCTCCCACAGACTCTGGGCCCCTTGGCTACCCCGTACCCCAGCCCTGTGCTGTCAGAGGAAGAAGACATTCTACTGGACAGCCCTGCCCTGGAGGTCTCGGACAGTGAGTCAGACGAGGCCCTCTTGGCTGGCACTGAGGCAGGTATGTGGGGTGGAAAATTGGTAGGGACACAGACTGTGGGTCAGGGGAGGGCTTGAAGGAACCAAAGTTCCCTGAGTACTTACTAACACCTCCCAAGGAAGTTCCCAGATCCATGCTACTTGTTGGCTGTATGACCTTGACCAAGGGCACCATCCTCTCTGTGCCCGGTTTCCATTGTGCACAAAACCACAGTAACAGCAAGAGAGGGTGCAGTACCTACTCCCTACCAGTTCCCCTCCCCTCTACCTCTGTCAAGTTATTCTCTATTGGACAACAGTTTCCCGTATATAAAACCTGCTATTTTATACATTCTCACACCCTACTTCCTCACTTTGGGGATTCTAGGCAAGGGGCTCGATCACCAAGCCATACCCCAGCCCTCTTTTTACTTTTAACAAACAGTCTCAACTAAGTTTCCCAGGCTTGAACTTGTGATCCCCTTTCTCAGTCTCTAGAATAGTTAGAATAACTGGGTTCGATCAACCAGGCCTGACTCAATTGCAGGGGGCCTGTGTAGACTGGGGGGTCCCATCAACGAACTTCCCCTCTTAACGTGGGTCTCTAATACCCTGCAGGTGCCCGCAAGAAACTGCGCCTGTACCAGTTCCTGCTGGGACTGCTGCTACGCGGGGACATGCGCGAGTGCGTGTGGTGGGTGGAGCCGGGTGCCGGAGTCTTCCAGTTCTCCTCCAAGCACAAGGAGCTGCTGGCTCGCCGCTGGGGCCAGCAGAAGGGCAACCGCAAGCGCATGACGTACCAGAAGCTGGCGCGTGCACTGCGCAACTATGCCAAGACGGGCGAAATCCGCAAGGTCAAACGCAAGCTCACCTACCAGTTCGACAGCGCGCTGCTGCCAACCACCCGGCGCGCCTGAGCGCCCCGCTACGACCCCTTTCTAGACCCCAGGCCCTAGTGTCCATGAAGCCCCGTAAGGGGGCAGTAGGCTGCCAGGGTCCTCAGCTCTCACCAGGGCCTCCCCAGAGTCCCCCGCGCCATATATGGGATTCCCCAGAATGGTCATTTAAGGGGAGTGTCTTATGACTGGCCATTCTACATACTCCTAGAATGGTAGGTTTCTCTGCGGGGGGCTCCTGGTGGTGTTTGCAGTTCAGGAATCCACTTTGGTACTTGCTGCGAGCCCTGTGATCACACACGTCATCGCACCAGCAGGTGGCGCTGTCTACAGCCCCCAAACCTTGTTTGTGTGTGTGTCGGGTGGGTGGGTGCGGGTCCCTCTGTGTTGCCCTGAGGCCCTGGTCAGATCTGAGATCTAGTTATGTCTTTATGTCTGGAGCCTTCTGAGAACCCTGTGTCATCTATGACTTTTCTCTGTGTCCATCCATGACTTTGTTTGAAACAGGGTCTCACTCTTTAGCTCAGGGTGGCCCCCAACTTGTGACAATCCTCCTGCCACAGCCTCCCAAGTGTTGGGATTACAGAGGCACACCACCACACCAGGCCTTTTCTTTTTCTGAGACAAGGTTTTACTGTGTAGTCCAGGCTATCCTCAAGCTTGTGGTGATCCCCTTGCCTCAGCCATCCCTTGGGACCCTCTGGGATCCACGTCTGAGATGACTTGTTGGGGAGGGTGGGGGTGGGGCGTTCGGGGATTCTTACAGACTGAGCCTTCTGGGGTCCTTTGTCATATGGGAAGTTCTCTAGCATCCTAGGCTCCTGGCCACCCTGAGATCACATACCGACTCTTTTGTTTGAGGGGCTACCCGTGTTGTATGTCAGGTCAGAATCATTCTAGCCCCTGGTCAGTTTGGGGTGTGTGACAAGGCCAGCGCCTGTTATTTTTTAGACTGAGTCTCAGGTAGCTCAGGCTGGCTTTGAACTTACTGTGTAGCTGAGGATGGCCTTGAGCCTCCGCCAGAGTGCTCAGATTCCTGACACCATCATGAGCCTGTTTCTTTTCTTTTTCATAAGTCAGGGTCTATCTACGTGGGCCAGGCTGGCTTTAAACTCATAACAGTCTTCCTGCCTCGGTGTCCAGAGCGCTAGGATCTGAATGTGTTCCGCCACACCCCGCTTACCCCACACCATCACTTACAGACTTCTAAAGCTGGCCACCCCCCACCCACAAGGCAGGCAAATTAAGCCCCTGCAGGTGTTGTCTTCAGAGGAAAGCACTCTTTACAGTGATCTTTCAAACTAGGGAGCTCTCCCCAGTTCAGACATCTGAACGGGAAACCTCTGGCCAGCTGTCTGTGTGCAGAGGCCCGAACCAGTCCCTTCCCAGTGCCTGCTGCCTCACCCTGTCACCACGCTCAGCTGCCTGTTCGGGCCCAGTCTTTTGAAGTGCTGGATACAGCCAGCTGTAGGCCAACCTGGCTCAATTGTGAGGTTCTCATTGGGCCCCCATAGCAGAATCAGAACCCAAGGCTTTGAGCCTGAGCAGGCTGGGCCACCCAGGCCTAGGTCCCTCTGAGAAAGAGGAGGAAGAGGGCCTCCTTGCAACCCTGATGAACCTGGGACACACCTAACTCACCTCTGGGTCACCAGGACGGGGAAGAGGAATCATGGAAGATCCAGATGTTCATGGCCAAGGACAAGCTGGCACCAAATAGAATTCTTTCTTCAAAAGCTAACATCATCACTCTACATGGATAATAAATAAAATCCTAAATAAAGTTTACAGCTGTCCTGGGACCCTTCATCCGGCTCTGCCCTGCCTCACCATAGGACATGGCTGGTACTGAGGCTGAGGGTAGCCACTGTAAGGTGGGGAAGGCGGAGGTACCATGGCGGTAGGCCAGGCTAGGTCTTGAATGGTGAAATCACTGGGCTTCCCAGCTCTCCTTTCCGTCCATTCCTCCATTCCAGGCGTTTGACTTTGGTGGTTTTTTTTGTTTTGTTTTGTTTTGTTTTTTAAGATAGGAGCGTCCTTACATTGTGGTTCAGGCTGACCTCGAAGTCACACCAATCCCCCTGTCTTTTTGTTGAGCCTCTGGAATTCCGGGATGTGGGGCCACTATCCTGGGCCACTGTGCAACTTGCCTGCTCCTTCGAGAGTGAGGTGGACGTTTGCTGGGCAACCAAAGGGAGGCTGCCTACTGGTTGGCTTAGTGCCCCCAGAGGCGGGCAAGTTTCCGGCTGTCGGGGATTTTGTACAATGGAGAAGAGGAAGGGGCGCAGGGAGAAAAAAAGGGGAGCAGCTTGTCTTGGTTCCCCTGGAACCTGGCCCAGTCCTTTCCTCTGACACCCTCCTGGTGTCAGTCACACCTGTGATACTACTACCCTAAGCCTCTCTCCTTGTCTTTACTTCCTCCACTCTCTGGTGCTGGGAAGGAGCCGGCCCGGGCAGCCCTCCAAGGCCTTCCCGGCCTCTCTGCACCCGGCCGGTGACCGGCAGTCGGCCAGGCCGCTCCCAGGGGCCCCGCACCAGGACAGGGCGGGAGGGACACCAAGACCTCCTCCCCCGGCAGGCACCCGTCCTGCCTACGCGGGGAAACCGGACTCTCTCTCCCGGCTCTGGTTTCTAGAAAACTCCTGACTCGGGCTGGCTAAGAAAGGCTTCCAGAACCTACCCCTCCCTCGCCCTGTGCACCTGAGACCCCCTAGCCGTTCTTCTGGTCCTCCCGCCAGGACTGGTTGGCCCCTCCCCACACTCCTCCTCCGCTCCTTCCCAAGACCCAGTATTCTCCTCCTCCTTCACCTCCTTCTTTTCTCTTTTCCCTTTCTTTGCCCCCGACACAAGTGCCCTCTCTGTCCCCGCTCCCCATCTTGTGCTCTGCTCCCTTCTCCTCCCCAACCCTCATTTCTCCAGAACCTAAGGATCTGGGCCCCTGCGCCCCCAGACTCCGGAGTCCCAGACCCCCTCCTTCTGAGGTCTCACAGTCTCCACCTTTGTACCTCCCACAGACTCGTGTGTCCAAGTTCCCCCAGCCCATCCCCACTGGGGCGTTGGCATCCGGCCACCCCCTCTGTCTACTAGCTATTTCTCGCCCTTTAGAGCATGTGGGAGGAATGTGGGGCGGCCCAGAGCTGCCTCCTGGGATCCTTGAGCCTCCATAAAGGGCCCCTCCTAGGAACCCACCTGTCCCTGCTAGGGCCTGGCTAGAGCCACTGTGGTCCCAGTCCTGGGAGCCGGAGGAGGTCGCCGACATGCCTGAGGCTAAACCAGGTGGCTGGCCAGAAACTTTCCTGGGAGTTGGGGAGTTGGGTGGGAGATGGTCTGCAGACAGGGAATAGCTCTTCCGTGGGAGGAGGGGGTCCTTTGCCTTCTCCTACATCTAGGTAGAGTGTGGTTTCCTTGCCTGCTTGGGGAAGAGAGGCCCCTTCTCGGTGCACGGATGGGCTCCTCCCTGGTGCAGGGTGATGGGGTCGTGTCGTCCCTCTTCCGGCACCGGGAGACCCATGTTGGGTAGAAATCTCAGCTGTCTAATTATAAAATTGGGTTCGGGTTTTCTCTCCCTCCCTCCCTCCCTCCCTCCCTCCCTCCCTCCTTCTCTCCCTCCCTTCTTCCTTCCTTATTTTCATCCCTTCTTTTCTCTTCTCCCCTCTCCTCTCTTCTCCAGTTCTCCAGGCTGGTCTCAAACTCACTCTGCAGCCCAGGCTGACTTGGAAGTCCCAGTCTATTTTGGGGGAGAGGGTGTTTCAAGACAGGGTTTCTCTGTGTAGCTCTGGCAGTCCTGGAACTCCATAGACCAGACTGGCCTCAAACTCAGAGATCCACCTGCCTCTGCCTCCCGAATGCTGGGATTAAAGGCGTGCACCACCATCGCCTGGCCGGAAGTCCCATTCTTACTGCCTCAGTCTCTCAAGAACTGGGTGGGAGGCGTGCACCCCCATGCCCAGCTGGGGGACTCCTTTTCTTGAGGCTCAAGGGGTCTTGTTTGTACACTGCTGGGGCTCAGTTTAGGACTAGGGTCCTCTCCAGGTGGGAGAAGACCCTCCGGGTAGTTACGTCTCATCATTGAATGAAGATTGGGTGCTTTCTAGATCATGAGGTGTGTCTATGGACACAGTGGGGTTTCATGTACATGGAATGATAATTTTCTGTGTAAAGACGAGAACCCCCTTGGTGTGAAGGTCAGACTTGTGCGCAGGAAATATGGGTCTCTTCCGTGTGTGGAACCCTTTTCTCCTGCTATGATGGGGATGGAATCTAGAGCCTCCTGTCTGCTGGGCAAGCACTGGCCCTGCCCCAGCACCCCAGTCTCTCTCCAGGGGCAGTTAGGAGTACTCCTCGGGGGGCAAGGGCAGTCTGTAAGCTGGTTGGTGCTTTCTCTTTTTGTGAAAGTGGGCATTGCACACAAACCCTGGCATCACCTTCCCCAAGGTGGCTGGTTCCCCAACCAGGCTGAGGTCGCCACCAGCTCCTTGCAGAAACTGACCCATGGGTCAGTGACCTGTACCATATCGGAGACTGCTGTGGTCAGCACCAGTGTCCAGTTTCTATCCCAGGGGAAGGGCTAATTATACCCCAAACCTGAAATGTCAGACTGGTGGCCAGAGTCTGGGGTGAGGCTATGAGGGGAGGGGGAACCTGATTCCATACTCAGGGTTAGGATCAACTTAAGCCTGGAATGGGGGTCTGAACCCCACCGTCTGTACTACTTCCATCTGAAGGATGAGGGCTTGGTCTGGACCCCGGGTCTGGACCCTGGTTCTGAGGAAGAAGGTCTGGGTCTAGACTCTGGATCCAGGGGGAGGAGAGCACCATGTGTGCTGAAGTCTCAACATCTCCTGTGTTACAGCAGCCAAAAAGGCCCCCAAAGGCAAGGATACACCAAAGGAAGCTCCTGCTAAGCCAGATCCTGCAGAGCCCCCCAAAGGTGAGGTGCCCCCTGGGGCTCTGCCAACTGTCTCCTCCTGGCCCCTCTGCACACTGGCCCTAGCCTTTCCTGATCTCTTTCCGGTAGCTGTCTGCACACAGTGACAGAGCCACAGTCTTTCCTGGCTTCCCAGCACCCCACCCTGGCTGGCACGGCACCCTGAGCGATGTCCCAAGTAATTCCTGCCTAGCCCCCAAAGCTATGTTCATATTTACATGTCTTTTACCCGAAAGTCCTTTCAGGACCATTCAGGCTATAACCTGCTCGTCCTCAGATGGGGAAACTGAGGCCCAAGGGGCTGACAGAGCCTAGCAAAGCTCATGCCCTCTGGATAAATGTAAGCCACACCATAATTTCTGCCTTCTGAGCAGAGGGATTCTTTTGTTTTGTTTTGTGGGGTTTTTTTTTGTTTGTTTGTTTGTTTTGAGACAGGGTTCCTTGTGCTGTAGTTGTCCTGGAACTCACTCTGTAGACTAGGCTGGCCTCAAACTCAAACTCCTGCTTCTGCCTCCTGAGTGCTGGGATTAAAGGCGTGTGCCACCACTACCCAGTGATCATAGGGGCTCTTATTGATCCCAGAACCCTTCCCAAAGAGGTCCTCTGCTTCTCCCTAAACTACTGCTGACACCCTAATCCCTAATCTTTTCTCCTGAGCAGAGGCCCCACCTGAGGACCAATCCCCAACTGCAGAGGAGCCCACAGGCATTTTCCTGAAAAAGCCAGACTCTGTGTCAGTGGAGACGGGTGAGCAGTGGAGCTGGACAGTCTAGAACCCGAGTGTGAGGGAGGAGGGTCGGGGAGGACTCCCGGGTCAGAGGGAGGAGGGCTAGGCCTGGACCCCCTGGGTCAGAGAGAGAAGGGCTGGGTCTCTGGAGAGCTGGGTTCCTCAGTGCCTCCTTCCTCCAGGGAAGGACACGGTGATTCTGGCCAAGGTGAATGGGAAGGAGCTCCCGGGCAAGCCTACCGTCAAGTGGTTCAAGGGGAAGTGGCAGGAGCTGAGCAGCAAGAGCGGAGCCCGATTCGCCTTCAAGGAATCCCATGACTCTGCCAGCAATGTGAGACCCCCCGTGGGACCCGGGGGCGGGGCTGGCACCTTCTCGAGGCTGAGGCCCGGCTAGAGCAGTGTAGAGGGCACAGCCATGTATTCCTCACACCTTTAGAGGCCTTAGGAGTCAAGATTCTGCAAGTTGGAGGGAGAGCTGTCCCAGAGAGCTCTGCTTTGGGGCCGGGTGGAGACTTGGGGACTGTGAGTCAAAGCGCCATGCCCCTGGCCCCCAGGTGTATACCGTGGAACTCCACATTGGGAAAGTGGTCTTAGGGGACCGCGGGGATTACCGTCTAGAGGTCAAAGCCAAGGATGTCTGCGACAGCTGCTCTTTCAACGTGGATGTGGAGGGTACGCTGGGGGCAGAGCCGGGGACGCTGGCGGGTGGGGGTTCTCCACTGAGCCGAGGTGGATGCAGGCGTGGAGGTGGCGCAGTGCCCCTCTCTCGGAGAAAAGGGTCAAGACTTTGTAATGGTGGGGACAAGGTCTCCAGGATTTGTGTAGGAGGAGGTACTAGACTTACAGGTGTTTAGTAACTTGGGGTACACATTAAAAAGTTTAGGAAGCTTTAGGTTTGTGTGTTGAGGGCTTGGGTAATCAGGGCCTCCTGCCTCATAGAATCTGGGTGTATGTGTTCAGCACGAGGTACATAGACCAGGCAGGTTAGGAGCAAGCAGGAGTCCTGCAGCCTCTGGGGTTCTACAGCTCCATGTGTGGGGTTTGAAAGTGAGGGGCTGGAGGAATGAGACTCCCCTGGCCTGGGGAGCAAGGACCAGCTGGCCAGGAGGGTAGGACATGGTAACTCCCAAAGGGTAGAGAAGTTACATGCCTTTCACCCAGCCCCGAGACTGAGGCAGGATGATTGTTGCCAGCCCCATATGAGCCTGGGGTTCACAGTGAGATCTTGTCTCAAGATCCAAAATACTGGGGGGTGGGGAGGACGCAGAGTGTTTTTTGTTCTAGGTCAGCCAGGGCTACATAGTGAGACTCTGTTTCAAACACACACACACACACACACACACACACACACATACACACGAGGAGGGGGGAAGGAGGGAGAGAGAGGGAGAGAGAGCACTGTCTAGGTCTTCAGAGATGGTGCACTGGCCCAGAAGGTGGAGGAAAGGGTACCCAAGAGGCTGGGAACTGTGAATGTCTGGACAGGATGTCCTGGTCTTTACCTTACTCCTCCTCCTTACCTGTTCCCAGCACCCAGACAGGACTCATCTGGTCAGAGCCTTGAGAACTTCAAACGTTCGTGAGTGCCTGTGGTCCCGGGAAAAACTGCCTATTGGCACTGAGAATCAAGGGACACTTTTCCTTGGGAGGTGGAGATGGAGGGCAAGGAGTGGGGACCCTTGGATGGATCTTTGTGGGCTTCACAACCCTCTTAATGATTGCAGGGGTGACGGGAAGTCAGAAGATGCAGGTGAACTGGATTTCAGTGGCTTGTTGAAGAAGAGGTGAGTTGGCCTAGCTGGCAGATAGGGACAGGTGGGGTCTTGGGAGAGGGACGATGGCCAAACAGCCGACACCTCATTTCTTATCAACCTCCCGGGATTTTTTCCCTATTCTGCTCACCTTCCCTTCCTTCTCTTTTCTTGTCTTCTCTGTGAGGTATGTGAGGGTGTGTGGGTTGGGGGCAGAGGTTGAGTTCTGTGTCTTCTATCACCTCCCACTGTCTCTGTTTTTCTTTATTGTGTTTTGAGACAAAGTCTCCCTCTATGGCTTTGACTGGCCTTGCTTGGAAGTTGCTATGTAGGTCCGTCTGGACTCAGATCCATAGAGATCTGTCTGCCTTGGGCATTCAGTTGCTGAGACCAAGGGTGTGTGCCACCACACCTGGCCTTTTACTTTGTTTTTTTGCCATGAAGTCTCTCACTGAACTTGGAATTCAATAAGCTGACCAGAGCATTTGTGCACACGAGTGCAGTACCTGTGGAAGCCAGAAGAGGGTGTTGGACCCCCTAGAACTGGAGCTACAGGTGGTTGTGAGTTGCCTGATGTGGCGCTGGGCACTGAATCTGAGTTCTCTGGAAAAGCTGTGTGTGCTCTTAACTGCAGAGCATCCCCTCCAGTCCACACGTGACTTTTACAGACTTGGGTCCTAATGCTCACACAGCAAGCACTTTGCCCAGAGCCATCCTTCAGCCTCCACCCCTAGGTTTTCTGTTTACTCCAATACGATCTTCTCCTCCTCATCTTGCCAGCCCATCCACCCCTTCCTGTAATGCCATCCAGTCAGCCATGTGCTCATCAAGTCCTCAGCCTTTTCACCCCTGAAGCCACCAGCCCTGCACCCTGCTCAGCCAAGCTTCCAGCCTATCACCTACCCATCACGAATCCATCCACTCATCCTCCATCCACACAGCTAACTACCTCTCCATCTTCAAGCCTGTCTGTCCTCTCCACACTCTTCTCCCTACCAGCTTCCCAGTTCTCTATCCCCTGTCTGCCATTATACTCAGATATCTATTTGTCAGTGTGTCCGTCTGCTCCACACTCACGCCCTGCACCGTCCGTCCGTCTGCTCCACACTCACACCCTGCACTGTCCGTCCGTTTGCTCCACACTCACGCCCTGCACTGTCCGTCCGTCTGCTCCACATTCACGCCTTGCACAGCCTGTCCGTCCGCTCCACACTCATGCACTCCACCAATACAATAAGGCAGTTATCTGCCCCTATATCAACTACCTTGCTCCTTGTATATTCAACTGAACTTGCACCTCTCCCCAACAGCACCCAACATCCTATCCAGACATCTGCTCCCCCACATCTGGCCAGCATTTCACCCTGTCACTGACACACCCAACCTCTTAGAGCTTTCTGTCAAATTGAACAATGCGAGGTTGGGACTCTGTAGGTAAAAAAAATAACTGGACTGGGGCTGTGAAAACGACTCAATCAGCAATGTGCTTGTTGTGCACCTGTGAAGACCCGAGTTCAAATCCCCAGCACCCGTAAAAGCTATGTGTAGAGCCACACTTCTGCATCCCAGCAGGTGAAATGGATAGGTTCCTGGAGTTTGTCGGCCTAGACAATCAGAGAGCTCCAGGTTCAGTGAGAGAACAGCCATGTCTCAAAATATAAGCTGGGCTAGGGAGATGGCTCAGTGGGCAAGAGGGCCTGTTGCCTTGCCTGGTGGCCTGCATTCAATTCTTAGAAACCACACGATAGGGGGGAGAACCGACTTTTAAAAGTTCTCTGACTTTTGCACACATGCTGTGGTATGTGAGTATACGTGTGTGTGCGCGCACACACACACACAATAAAAAGAGTTAAAAGCATTTTAAGAAGTGAGGTAGGGAAATGACTGAGGAAAGACCTGACAGCAACTTCAGGCTACACACACCGATGCACATGTGTACACAGACACAGCGGAGTGGGTGGATTACAACAACTTCCTGCTGCTTTCCAGCACACGTGGTCTCTCGTGTACCCACTAGAGTATCGGCCATGTGCCCACCCTTCATGGCTCCAGTTTCCCCACTGACAGCTCCTCTGTGAGTCTTCTATCAACCAGCCACAGGCTTGGCCATCTTTCCATTTCTGTCATCCTGGCCATGCATGCGTGTGCCCTGCTATGCTCTATCCACCCTTCTGTTTATCTGTCCTCTCACCTTCTGCTCTCAATATCAACATAATATTCATGTCCCAAGTCCAGCCGTGCACGACTCTGTTGCTTCCTTCTTCCTTCCTGAAGATCCCCGCTTGCATTTCTTCCTCCATGTGAGGCCAGCTGTCCTCTAGGTGCTGGGCTGAGATGGAGACACAGAGAAGCCCCACTTGATCCTGGGCTGACTCCTTCAATACCATGGGAAGACATGACAGATCCAGAGACAGGGACACACACAAGGCAGTTTGGTGTGGTTAGAGGAAAGAGCATGTCACTGCCTTGGAGAACCATAGATCCCTCATAGAGAAGAAAGCACGGGCGCTAGGGTTTGGAGGATGGAGAGGGACACAAGGCAGGGACACGAGAGGCTGGAAGCGGCCAAGAGCTCTGAGAGGCAGAGGAGAAGCCTGCAGTGCCAAGGACACCGTGTAAATCTGGTTTGGATGCTGGGGTGCTGAGGGTGGAAAACTGGGTAGGTTGATGACAGCCAGGACAAGGAGCTGGGGTTCCCTCCTGAAGGCAGTGGGGAGCCACAGCAATGTTTAGAATGGGGAGGACATGGTTTCTGGTGTGCATGTTGGAAACTTTCTGTGGAGACCATGGGCGGAAAAACCTAGAAAGGAAGGTGACTGATAAATATTTGATGGATAAGTGAATGGGTAAATGTGTAGGAATGTGAAGGGAGGGATGGATGAAGGGATGGAGGAATGGATGGATGAGTGTGTGGGTAGATGGGTAGGAAGGTGAAGGGATGGATGGATGAATGGGTGGAGGGATGGATGGATGGATAGATGGGTGGATGGGTGAGTGGGGGAAGGGATAGAGAGTGGATTAAAGGTAGCTGTTTACTTGGTTAGGTGAATGGGTGGGTTGATGAAGATATGTGGACAGAAGGGTGAATGGAGATTGGATGGATAGATGGATGGATGAGTGGGAGAGAAGAGAAGAAGAGAGGGAAGGATGATGGGATGATGAATGGGTGCTTATATAGTTAGATGAATGGACAGATGATGGAGGGAGTAGGGAGGGAAGGATGGATGAGTGAGTGAGTGTTCAGATGGATGGGTAGGATACATGGACAACTGGATAGGTGGATGAACTGATACTGAATAGATATGTGGGTAGTAGATAAATAAATGGAGAGATGGATTTATTGAGGGAAAGGAAGGTGGAAGAAGAGAGGGATGGATGATAAATGGAGAGAAGGGTGAATAATGGATAAATGAATGGGTATTCAGGTGAATGTGCAGAATACAGGGATGGATAGGTGAATAAATTAGAGGGTGTATGGATGGATAGATGTGGGGATAGATGATTGATGTGTGGGTGAGGGCTGGATAATTGAGGTGTGGATAGATGAGTGGATAAAAGGAGGGAAGAAGATGCTTGGCCAATAATCCAAGTGGGAAAGAACAAGGCTCAGAGTTACAGGTAACTGGTTGTGGGGGTGGGGCACCTTAGCCTCCCCATCACTGTGTCCCTGCTCCCCCAGGGAAGTGGTTGAGGAGGAAAAGAAGAAGAAGAAAGACGATGATGACCTGGGCATTCCCCCGGAGATCTGGGAGCTCCTGAAAGGGGCCAAGAAGAGCGAGTACGAGAAGATTGCCTTCCAGTATGGCATCACTGATCTCCGTGGCATGCTGAAGCGCCTCAAGAAGGCCAAGGTGGAGGTCAAGAAGAGTGCAGGTCAGTATTGACCCGAGGGAGATGGGATTGTCCTGGAGCCCCCAACACTGGGGACATCTGTACCCTGGATCCAGGACAAGTGGTGGGCCTCACTCTCAAAGGTCTCTAAGTCCATGGGAGGCCTCCAGACTTGACCTTGGAGAGACCAAGGTCTGGGAGGAAGACCTGGCTCCTCTTGAGATGATCAGGGCAAAAAGAAACTCTTTTCTCTACTCCCCGGTCTCCTGTCTTTGACACTGGTCATCTCTGTATCCCTTGGTCCTCCTCCATCCCTAGCCTTCACTAAGAAGTTGGACCCAGCCTACCAAGTAGACAGAGGCAATAAGATCAAGCTGGTGGTGGAGATCAGTGATCCAGACCTTCCTCTCAAGTGGTTCAAGAATGGCCAGGAGATCAAGCCAAGCCTCAAGTATGACCAGGGGAACTGCTGCACAGGCGGTCCGCAGTGAATGCCCAGAAGCAAGCGTGGGTTCCCACCTTCCCTTTTGGCTGTGTCTTCTGTAATGGGTGCTCTCACACCAGGTATGTGTTTGAGAATGTGGGGAAGAAACGAATTCTCACCATCAACAAGTGCACGCTGGCAGACGACGCTGCGTACGAGGTGGCAGTCCATGACGAGAAGTGCTTCACCGAACTCTTTGTCAAAGGTGGGGCTGGCTCCCCCTGAGTCTGGGGAAGGATGGAGGGGATCGAGTGGGTCCTGAGACTGCTGGCTTCCTCTTTCTCACTCCATAGAGCCTCCAGTCCTGATCGTCACCCCACTGGAAGACCAGCAGGTGTTTGTGGGTGACAGAGTGGAAATGTCGGTAGAGGTGTCTGAAGAGGGTGCACAGGTCATGTGGTGAGTAGCCGAGCACAGCTGCCTTTAGGTTCTTCGCCTCAGCCCTGGTCTCTTGCAGACCCGAAACTTCCTAGGAGGTTCTGAGTTTTGTTCAGGAGGCACCTGAGACCTCAGTTAATGTCTTTAAATCCCCCTTACTCATGACCTCATTATTCTAGAACTGACCTCTGTTCATCCTGTTATCTTCAGGATCTTTTCCTGATCCCTCCTGCTGTACTGAATATTAATTAATCTATCAGCTAGCCATTTGTCCTTGGATCCATCCATGTGTCTGTTATCCACTTGTTCATCACCCTCTCATCCATCAATCATCCTCTATACAAACACCTATCTTCTCTCTTCCACCCACCATCATTCTGTCTACCATACCTCTATCCATGCATTATCCATGTATCCTTCTATAATCCATTCACCATCATCCTTCCACCCAATCGTTACCAGCCCATCATTCCCTTATCCGTTCCACCCACTCATCCACCCATCCATCCATCATCCCTCCACCCACTCACCCATCCATCATCTATCCATCCATCCACCCATCCACCCACCCATCCACCCATCCATCCATCATCCCTCCACCCACCCACCCATCCATCATCTATCCATCCATCCACCCATCCACCCATCCATCCACCCATCCATCATCCCTCTATTCCTTTCCATTCATTCATCACTTGTCCATCTTGCCCATCTATTATCAATCTTTTTATCTATTTATAACTTCTTCTGTTTATTTCTTCATCCATCCCCCAACCCAGCCTCCTTTCCATTGATTCATTCAGCCATTCACCTATCATCTTTTAACCCATCCTTCATTCACCCACCCATTCCTTACCCCTCCACCCATTCATTATCCATCTAAACCAACCACATACCCGCTCATCCCTGGTCTATCCATGATCTATTCTTCCACCTCATTGACCTGCCTTCCACCCACCCAGGATGAAAGATGGTGTGGAGTTGACACGGGAGGACTCCTACAAGGCACGCTACCGCTTCAAGAAGGACGGGAAACGGCACATCCTCATCTACTCTGATGTGAGTCAGGAGGATGGGGGGCGCTATCAAGTCATCACCAACGGCGGCCAGTGTGAGGCTGAACTCATTGTGGAAGGTACGACATCTGTCCCCACTCCCCACACGTGACACTGAGTGTGTCCTGCTGCACACACACGTGTCCCCACTCCCCACACGTGACACACAGTGTGTCCTACTGCATACACGTGTCCCCACTCCCCACACATGACACTGAGTGTGCCCTGCTGCACACACATCTGTCCCCACTTCTCACACGTGACTCTGAGAGTGCCCTGCTGCACACACGTGTTCCCACTCCCCACACGTGACACACAGTGTGTACTGCTGCACACACCTGTCCCCATTCCCCACACGTGACACACAGTGTGTCCTGCTGCAAACGAGGTATGATTTGGTGGGCGTGAGAGGACCCTGTGAATGTCCAAGTTTGTATATCAGCTCCTTGTTACATAAAATGCCACCCCTGGGAGAAAGTGCGCCAGAGAAGGGTCATAGGACCTTGTGTAAGAAAGAAACGTGAAACAAAGCAAAACAAAAACCTGTGTCATTTACAGTGAAATAAATAGGCTTTTCTGTATGTGGCCAATTAAACAAGGGAAAGTGCACACTGCACTGACTCACAGGGACAGACTGCTGAGATCAGTCCTCAGATGATGCTGTCACACAGGGAAGGGAAGAGAAAAGGAAGGAGGGAGAGGAAATGATAAGCGTGATCAAACACACACACACACATGCACACTCACACACATTTACACACTCATACACATACACTCACACATACATACACTCACCTACTCAGCACACACTCACACACATTCACCCACTCACACACATTTACACACACACACTCACACACATTTACACACTCACACACATACACTCACATACTCAGCACACACTCACACACATTCACACACTCATACACACTCACAACACATTCACACACTCATACAGACAATTAGCTCTCCTTACCCAGGGATTCTGTGTGTAAACACCTTTTGAGTAAAATATTGGGAAAATAAATACATCTTATCAGGGCACGCTAGCCAGGAACTCCACCACTGAACTGTACCCTAATCTCTCACTGGGGGGATCCTAGGCCGGGGCTCCACCCCTGAGCATGGCCCCGCCCACCGTACACTCTTTCTGGGAGGCTCCCAGCATTCTCTGCAGCATTTCCCTCCTATTCTTGGAATTTCCTTGTTCCCCATCCCCACTAGAGCAGGATCCTCCATGTCCAGCAGGTAGTTTGGGGCTCACTCATAGCTCAATCCTAGAACAGCATTCAGCACGCAGTGGGTGCTCGCTAGGGTTTGTAACCTGATTAGAGCCGGCAGGGTCCCACCCTCTTTCTTCTTATGCAGAGAAGCAACTGGAGGTTCTGCAGGACATTGCAGACCTGACAGTGAAGGCCGCAGAACAGGCTGTGTTCAAGTGTGAAGTGTCTGATGAGAAGGTGACGGGCAAGTGGTACAAGAATGGGGTGGAGGTGCGACCCAGCAAGAGGATCACCATCTCCCATGTGGGCAGGTGAGGCACAGGGCGATGGTTTGGGATCAGGTCTCACTGCACAGGCATGGTGCAGGGAGGGGTCCGCTAGGACCGTATTTGAGACATACAGGGAAGCAAGCGGTTAGAAGTCAGCAGGCAGGACGTGAACACCTGAGATAAATACCTGCTCAGTGCCTGAGCGTCACGACTCCGGCCCAGCGCCGCATCCTCCTGGGTATCGTCATGCCAGCTGTTTGGCTCTGTTTTTCGTAAGGAACCAGAGCTACTGGCAGCCTTGATAATGACGGTAGCCAGTCTTGCTGCGGACAGGGACCTTCCTAAGAGCCAGGTCCGCCCTAGATGTTTCATGGCTCTTGAGATGGTGGCATCATTTCTCTGTTTATAGATGAAGCAACAGAGGCAGAGAGGCTTAGTAGCTCGCCCAAAGTCACACAGCTAGGAAGTGGGATTTAAACTCAGGCCAGAACATCACAAAACCTCGAGTAAAAATCGTAGCTCTGCAAACATGAGGACTTGAGTTCAAGTTCCAACACTCACTTAAAATCTGAGCGTGGTGGTGTGTGCCCATAATCCCAGCACTGGGGAGGCAGAGACAGGAGGATCCTTGGAGTTTACTGGCTAGATAGCCTGGCTTAATTGGTGGGATCCAGGTTCCAGTGAGAGACCCTGTCTCAAAGCGGAGAAGGGCTGGAGAGAAGTACTGACTGCTCTTGCAGAGGACCCAGGTTCAATTCCCAGCACCCACATGATAGCTCACAACCATCTGTAAATCCAGTTCCAGGGGATCCAGTGCCTTCTTCTGTAGGTACTGCACACACAGTGCACATACAAACATGAAGACAAACATGCATACATATATAAAATAAATCTTAAGGATAAAATGCAAATGGTGCCCAAGGGATGACACCTGAGGTGGACCCCTGGGGTCCGCATCTCTTGCGTTGGCACTCACAGATAAGTCTGCAGTGACCTGGCCTGACCCCACCGACCTCCGTTCTGCATTGTAGATTCCACAAGCTGGTGATTGACGATGTCCGCCCCGAGGATGAGGGAGACTACACATTCGTGCCTGATGGCTATGCCCTGTCCCTCTCTGCCAAGCTCAACTTCTTGGGTAGGGAAAGCCTTCCTTTTCTACTAGGGACAGAGAACCCACCCTCCCAGACCTCCAAGATCCCAGCATTTCTCCCTGCAGGATTAAGATCTCTAGTTTTATGATGGGGGCCATAGCAAGTGTCTCTGGGGCCCATGGTTACAGTCAGTGAGATGTTCAGGGCATGGTACATGCTGATGAGTATCCATGGGGAATAGGGGTGGTTTGGGAATCTGTCCCTCCCCTGGGACCACACACTCAGAGTTTCTTTCAGATTCTGCCCTCTGCCTCTGGATTATGAAGGGAAGATGAGGGAGGGACATGAGAGTTTAGTCCTAACCATCCCAACCCCTTGTCCTTTCAGAAATCAAAGTGGAGTATGTGCCCAAGCAAGGTAAGAGCTGCACGGCCCCAGTGTGACTCATGTCTGAGGGAGCAGGGCTGGGTCTGAACCCCTGGGTCTGAGGGAGCAGGGCTGGGTCTGAACCCCTGGGTCTGAGGGAGCAGGGCTGGGTCTGAACCCCTGGGTCTGAGGGAGCAGGGCTGGATCTGAACCCCTGGGTCTGAGGGAGCAGGGATGGATCTGAACCCCTGGGTCTGAGGGAGCAGGGCTGCGTCTGGACTTGGAATGCTGCTTCTCTGGTAGCCCTATGGTGGTATTGGGAAGCCAGGTACCCAATGCCTGTTTTGTGCCTCTAGAGCCCCCAAAGATCCACCTGGACTGCTCAGGGAAGACCTCGGATAACTCCATTGTTGTAGTGGCTGGAAACAAGCTGCGGCTGGATGTGGCTATCACAGGGGAGCCACCTCCCGTTGCCACCTGGCTAAAGGGAGATGAGGTAGGTTTCTGCCCTGGTCCTTCTCCCTCTAGCTCGGCCAAGTGGCTTCAGGCAAGTGGCTTTTCCTCTCTGAGCTTCAGTCTCATTCTCTATGGAATGAGGATGTCTTCTTTCTGTGTGGAGCAGTTCTGAACACTGCGGGATATATTGTCTACACAGGTATGGATCCAACATACGGTGCATACCCCATTCATTGATCTTTTCCTCCAACAGCTGGTTAGTCAGTCAAGACTGACTGGTTCATCCATCTCTTCAGTAACGCTTCTATCCACCACTCTCCCACCCACCCATCCATTTTTCCATCCATCCACCCATTCATCCACACGTCCACCCATCCATTCATCCATCTACACATTCATCATCAATATATCCATTCATCCACACATCTCCCCATCCCTCCACCCACGACCCACATCTATATTGCATCTATATACAATCCATCCACCCACTACCTATTCATCCATCCATCTATCCATCACTCACCTACCCACCTGCCCAACCATCCACCCACTCCCCAAAAAAGTCCCATCCAACTACCATCATTGATTCATCCTTTTATCAAAAAACTGCTTTGAATTTTCTGTCCTGGCCCCAGGGAAGTGGGATTTTCAGATCTCTTGTGTTAGCTTTCAGTTAACATAATCAATACCAGAGCTATATCTATCTATCTATCTATCTATCTATCTATCTATCTATCTATCTATCTATCTATCTACCTATCTGTCTATCTGTCTGTCTGTCTATCTACATACACACTATATATGTGTGTTCCTGGTTCCAGCCCCTGGTTGGTTCCTCTCCCTTGAATCTGTGGCCAGGTTAAACACTGTGGTGGCAAGATGCTCACCTCATAATGGCTGGAACACACAGAGAGGAAGGGTCCAGGGCCCCAACATCTCTTCAATGGCATCCCCTCTTACCAATGACTAGGTGTCCTCTTGATAGGCTCCATCACTTTTTTTCAAGACAGGATTTCTCTGTGTGGCCCTGGCTATCCCAGAACTTGCACTGTAGACCAGAATGGCCTCATAGAGATCTGCCTGCCTCTCCTGGGATCAAAGATACACCATCATCTTCGGGCTTTAGGTCCCATCACTTAAAGGCTCCACTTCCTCCCAGTAATGTGATGGACTGGGACAAGCCTTCAGGACATGGGTCTTTGGGTAACATTCATCCAAACTGTAGCAGCACTGAGGTCCTCTCTTCTGGAACATGGACAGCAAGGCTCCATGTTTATCCACTCTTCTCCGCAGCTAACCACTGAAGGTGCCACCCTCATCAGATGCAGTCCTTTGAGGGAGGTGATGGAAGCCAAAGTTGCTTCTCAAGATGTCCAAGACTGAGATATGGGGGTCAGAGAGCAGGAGCTGTAGGAATGTGAAGTCACTTTGATCTAGGAGCATACAAAATGCTCCCTGGAAGAAGTGACGACTTTCACGTGGCCTTAAGAGTAAGAGGAGGTAGGCTGGTGAGATGGCTCAGCCGTTAAGATCACTGGCTGCCCTTTCAAAGGACCTGGGTTCAATTTCCAGTGCCCATATGGCAGCTCACAACTGTCTGTGATAACATTTAACATTTTAATTTTAACATAAAATTAAAAAACAAGAGTATGAAGAGACTTGAGACACAGATGGAGTGGTTGGGATTCCGGGCAGGGCTCTCCCCCTAGGTTTTACCCCAGTACGCACGGATCAGACACGCTGGTTCACAGCTGCAGTCTCTGCACTTGGGAGGAAGAACAGGAGCTCAAGGCCATCGCTGACCACAGAGAAAGTGTAATGGCATCTACATCATAAGAGAAACCTGCTTTAGAAAGAAAAAGCAGTGCCAGGTTGTTTAGCCTACAGATAAACAGGACTCTTGGGAACAAGACCTTGTGTAGTGAGGGTGGGTGTGTGGGGACAGGAAGGATGAGTGAGGAAAGTCAGGGTGAGCTCTCCGAGTCAGAACTCACACGTGGCCATGCCTGGCTGCTGGGTGGCCCTGTCCAGGTGTTCACAGCGACAGAGGGCAGGACGCACATTGAGCAGAGGCCAGACTGCAGCAGCTTTGTGATCGAGAGTGCAGAACGGGCAGATGAGGGCCGATATACCATCAAAGTCACCAACCCTGCCGGTGAAGATGTGGCCTCCATTTTCCTGCGGGTTGTGGGTAAGCAGGGGCCAAGGCGGATGATGCACAGGGTGGCTCATTGAAGCCTCTAAGGGTACCCCTGACTCTTATTGTCCCTCACTCCCATCCAGATGTTCCTGACCCTCCAGAGGCCGTTCGTGTCACCTCAGTTGGAGAAGACTGGGCCATTCTGGTCTGGGAGCCACCCAAGTATGATGGAGGACAGCCAGTGACAGGTCAGCATCCGTGTACCAGTGTCCCTGTGACTTCTGTGTTTCCTAACCTTTGATTCATCTTTCACCCAAGCCCAAAGCTTCCTTGTGGGTCTCCCCCAAGAACTAAGTTCTCTGGGACCTGGGTCTCCTGATGTGTGCGTGCCCGTGCATGCAGAGGCCGGGTCCACTGTGAGTGCCCTCCTCCACCATTCTCCACCTTATTTTTTGAGATTGTTTTCACTGAACCTGGAGCTCACCTGTTGGGCTAGACTGGCTGGCTAAAGGAACTTTCTGTCTCCAGCCATGAGATCTTGAGCACATACTACAGCCAGCTTTTATGTGGGTGCCATGGATCCAAACTCAGGCCTTCACACTTGTGCCAGCACTAATGACTGAGTCTCATCTGCAGCCTCCATCCTGACCCCTTTTGATACAGAGTCTTACTGCCCCACCCACCCCTTTTGAGACAGAGCCTTACTGTGTAGCTCTGTCTGGCCTAGAATTCACTTTGTGGCTGGCCTCAAACTTAGAGGTATCAGCTTGACTCTGCCTCCTGAGGTTGGGGTTAAAGGTGTACACCACCATGCCCGGCCAGATTTCCATCTTTCTTACTTTGACCCCATTAACCTTTCCCAGGATTCATTGTTCCCTAGTGACTTGGAAATAAATCTCATAGCCTGGGGATTTCTGTGACCTTGGCTTCCCAAGGCCAAGAATGGTAGCCCCCAGAAAGCTCTGGGAAGCCGAGAGTCAATTTGATGTGGGTTGTTTGATCCTTTCTGTGTGACCCTTCCTGTCCCAAATGTGACATTAGATCTCATTACAACCCCCAAAACCCTTCTGCTTGGGGAGCCACAGGGTACTTGATGGAGCGGAAGAAGAAAGGCTCCCAGCGCTGGATGAAGCTCAACTTTGAAGTCTTCACTGAAACAACCTACGAGTCCACAAAGATGATCGAGGGTGTCCTCTATGAGATGCGGGTCTTCGCTGTCAATGCCATTGGTGTCTCACAGCCCAGCATGAACACCAAGCCCTTCATGCCCATTGGTACAATGGCTTGTCCCTCCACACCTGCCCCTCCCACCGACTCTGCCCCACATCCATCTCCAATCCCATACCTGACCTTTGACCCACAGAGCTTGAAATGTGTGTGTGTGTGTGTGTGTGTGTGTGTTGCTGGAGATAGAATCCAGGACCATGCACAAAAATTCAACCCCTCACTGAGGTATTCTAAACATGGGTTCTACTACTGAGCCACACCCTCAGCCTCTGACTGGTAGATTCTAGGTAGGCATTTTACCTCTGAGTTACAGCCCCAGTACCCCCGCCTCTTTTTTTGGTCTTTTTGAAGCAGGTTCTCTCTGTAGTACTAGCTGGTCTGGAACTTGCTCTGTAGGTCAGGCTGGCCTTGAACCCCCAGAGATCCTCCTGCTGCTGCCTCCCCAGTGCTAGGTCTGAAAGTGTACACCACCACGCTGGCTTCTGTTTTTTATCTTATCTCCCTCATGCCCTTTCCTGATCACTGATTTTTGACCCATCGCAGTGATACTAGCCTCTGACCCCTGCCCTCTCTTGCTGACTTCTGCTCCTTCACTGGCTCTTGGTCCCCTCTCTTTGGATTCCTGCAGCCCCCACAAGTGCACCCCAGCACCTCATTGTGGAGGATGTGACGGACACCACCACCACACTCAAGTGGAGGCCTCCAGACAGGATTGGCGCTGGCGGCATCGATGGTTACCTGGTGGAGTACTGCCTGGAGGGCTGTGAGTGGCACTAGGCCCTGTGTTGAACCGGGGAGTGGACTTGGGAGTTGCATGGGGGGCCGGCATAGTTCCCGGGCTAGTCTGGACCCCTCTATGAAGCAATGACTCCTTATCGGTCTGTTCTTCCCTCTCTAGTATTTTCCTCTACCTCCTTCCCGCTCTTCTTCCTTCCCTTCCTTCCTCTTCTCCTCTCTTCCCTGTTTTAATATTCTTCCTTCCCCACCATCTGTGTAACTGTCATCTCTGCTGTCCCCATCCCCACCTCTGCTTCATTACCCCCCACACTCACAGTCACACACAAGTGCTTGCATACACCCACATCAGCATGCACACTCACACTAGTGCACACATACTCCTTAAAACCATGTACTCACACTCAAATGTTCATTTACCCACCAATGTATACGCATACTGGCAGGCGCGCGCGTGCGCGCACACACACACACACACACACACACACACACACACACACACACACAGCCCGACGTGGGGTTCACAGTCCTGGCTACAGAATATCTTATATGCATTGCTTATCTGGCAGTCAGGACACCACACTGACACCGTCTGCCCAGCCATATCAGTAATCAAGCAGCCCCAGCCCTACCCACTACGGCTGCCTATGTGGTTTTGGTCTATGATTCAGAACCTTTGTCTTGACCCGGAACTGTGAGCACCACGTCAGGCCACACAGGAAAGTGACAATATTGTCCATATCAGTTTCTTCCCAGCATTCCCTGCTTCATTTTCCAGCTGGCCACCACTCCACCCTCCTACCCTGGAAATTTCTTGCATCAGGCTTGAGCTATGTGATTTCAAATAGCTTCTACCTAGGACCCCCGGTTTCCTTGTCCTTGAAATGTGGTCACAGTGTTGAGGCAGGTGTGCTGTCTCCACGACGGAATGGTGTGGTCCTCCATGCTGTCCTCAGGAAGGCTTGACCAGTGCTGCCACTTATGCTGGGGTTCACTGAGTCCTCGTTGTGATGGGTTTGCTGGGGACAGTGAGGAAAGCCGTGCAGAAGGCCAGGTCCACATGTGACTCCTCTCCCCAGCTGAGGAATGGGTCCCGGCTAACAAGGAACCCGTGGAACGGTGTGGCTTCACTGTCAAGGATCTTCCAACTGGAGCCAGGATCCTCTTCCGGGTTGTTGGGGTCAACATTGCAGGGCGCAGTGAGCCAGCCACCCTCCTTCAGCCGGTCACCATTAGAGAGATTGTGGGTGAGTGACACCCAGTCCCGACTCAGGGTCCCCCAGATGAGGTCATCATCCCCCTGAAGTGATTTCCAGCCCAACACCAACCCCCTCTGTTCACACCCTCAGAGCAACCCAAGATCCGCCTCCCCCGCCACTTGCGTCAGACCTATATCCGCAAAGTGGGGGAAGCCATCAACCTTGTTATCCCCTTCCAGGTACTTAAGCTGGGATCAGTGTGGGTGCTGGGATGAGGTTATGAACAGGGCCAGGGCTGGGGTTGGGGCTATGGACAGGGTTGGCGTTGGGATCAGGCTTAGGGCTAGGGGTAGGGTTGGGGACTGGGCTATGAACAGGTCAGGTTCATAGCCAATACCATTGTTTGTGCTTAAGTCAGAGCCAGGGTCAGAGCTGGGGGTCAAGGATAGGGCTGCAGGTCAGGGTGGAAGTCAGAGATAGGGTTGGGGTCAAACAGAGTCAGGGCCAGAGCTGGCAGGGGTCAGAGCCTGGAGTAGGGTCGAGACAAGTCCAGGATGGTGTCAGGTCCAGGATGCAGTGATGGATCTATCACCTAACCATGCCCTTAGGCCTGAAGAGCTCACTTACCTTACATTTATTCTGTCCTACAGGGCAAGCCCCGGCCTCAGGTGGTGTGGACCAAGGGTGGGGCTCCCTTGGATACCTCCCGTGTGAATGTGCGGACCAGTGACTTCGACACGGTGTTCTTCATACGCCAGGCGGCCCGCTCTGACTCTGGAGAATATGAGCTGAGTGTGCAGATTGAGAACATGAAGGACACTGCTACCATCCGCATCCGGGTCGTGGGTGCGAGGCTGGAGCCTGGGGAGGCGGGATAGACCAGGGTCAGGAGTAGGTGGAGGAGGCCAGTAGGAATGGGAGAAGAGGGAAATCGGAGTAGGGGAGAGGCTCGGTGGGACTGGAGAGTTGGAGGAACATGACCAAAGGGACAGAAGGGAGGTTTGAAACAGGAAGGGTGGAAGGTGGGGCAAGGAAGGGGCTCGGTTGGTATTGTGCTTGTCTAACATACATGAGAGCCCAAGGCCCATCCGCAGCGCTGGGTAAACGAAGTGTAGTGGTGTGTGCCTAAGATCTCAGCACTCACGGGGTGGCAGCGGGAAGATCAACCCAATCCTGAGATACACAGTGGTTTGAGACCAGCCTGGGCTACAACAAGTCAAAAAGAAAAAGAAAAAAAAAGTCAGGAGGGGAAGGAAGGAGCAGTGCCAGACATCAGGGCCCCTCGGATGGTGTGTGACCCCCCCCAACCCTTCTTCTAGAAAAGGCAGGGCCAGCGGAGAATGTGATGGTGAAGGAGGTGTGGGGCACCAATGCGTTGGTGGAGTGGCAGCCGCCGAAGGACGACGGGAACAGTGAGGTCACAGGCTACTTTGTCCAGAAGGCTGACAAAAAAACCATGGTGAGGGGACAGAGGGGCCTCGGAGGCTGGGGAAAAGTGGAGCAGAGCTTTCTGTTTCACAGCTGGGAAACTGAAGCTCGGAGACAGGGTGGCTGCGAGTGGGAGTGGGCTGGGTTCTGCAGACAGACTGCTGCTTCTGCCCCGCCTCTCCTGCGTCTCTACTCACACGCGGCCCGCGTGCTGGCCTTTCCTGGTCCCTCCTTGTCCCCATTCCAGGAGTGGTTCAATGTCTACGAACACAATCGCCACACCAGCTGTACAGTGTCGGATCTTATCGTGGGCAATGAGTACTATTTCCGAATCTTCAGCGAGAACATCTGCGGTCTCAGTGACTCACCTGGTGTCTCCAAGAACACAGCGCGAATCCTCAAGACAGGTGCAGGGCTGCCTGGCACTGAGCTGCAACTCCTGGCTGTTGGCCCCTGGCTAGGTTTGGGGTGGGGCTCACGTTATGGGCATCTCATCTTCCCCAGGAATCACCTTAAAACCACTGGAATACAAGGAGCATGATTTCCGAACAGCCCCCAAGTTCCTGACACCGCTGACTGACCGGGTAGTGGTAGCAGGATATACCGCAGCTCTCAACTGTGCCGTCAGAGGCCACCCAAAGGTGCCAGGGCGGGGTCTGGGGAAACCGTTAGCAGCAATGGCCCCCAGACATACTACACTAGCAGCTCCTCACTGCAGCCTCCTCAGGTGGAGGCCAAGTGTCAGGCAGTTCTGAGCTTCTTGCCTCTTCTCTGCCTCATGACTGCCAGGTTACACCTCATCCATTCAGCCCAACTCTGTTCAGCTTGAAAACAGTGCCGCTCCCTAGAAACCCTGGGGGGGTACTTACACCTGCATAGCTTCCTGGGGTTCTCCTCAGTCACCTACTCTCAAGTTTACTCTTCTTTAAAAACATCTTAAAATTTAGCAAGAGTGTAGTGACCCACGCCTTTAATCCCAGCACTTAGGAGGCAGAGGCAGGCAGATCTCTGTGAGTTTGAGGCCAGTTTGGTCTACAGAGGGAGTTCCAGGGCAGGCTCCAAAAGCTAAGGAGAAACTCTTGTCTCAAAAAAAAAAACCCTTAAAATTGTGTGTGTGTATGTATGTGCACCTTGTGTGTGTGGTGCTCCCGTAGGCCAGAGAGGGCATTAGAGTCCCTGGAGCTGGAATTATAGGTAGTTGTGAGCTGCCTGGCGTGGGTGCTGGGACTGAACCCAGATCTTCTGGAAAAGTAGCTAGCACTAACCACTGAACTATTTCTCTAGGCCTCATCATTTTTCCTTTTTTAGATAAGGGTTCATGTAGTCTAGGATGGCCTTGAACTCAGGATCCTCCACCCCCACTTTCTGAGTCTGGGATTCTAGGTGTGCACCGCCAAGTCTGGGTATACTCATTCATTCATAAATCCATCCACCATCTCATTTAACCATGTGTCGATTCATTTCTCTCAGCTCATTCATTCATTCCATTTGCTGATGTACATCATTAATTCCACAAATATTTTCCTGGATTTCGTATGTACTTCGCAAATGGAACAAAGAAGTTCTGTTTGCATTGGGGTGGGGCGAGGAGGACACTGGTGATGTAAGACTGTAATGGCAGTAAGCATGGCAGAGAAATATGGCAGTTCTGAGACTGTCCAGCAGGTGGCTGGCAGGGGAAGGGTGGGACAGACAGTTCCAGGGTATGGGAAGGGGAGCCTGTCATCCGGCTGGAGCGCAGGGAAGGAAAGGTAGGAGGTGATCATGGTGGCCAAATTGGGATTCCTAAGGTCTCTAGGCGTCATGTACTTGTTTGTACAGAAGAAGAAAGTGGGAGTCAGAGAGTAGATGACTGGTTCAAGTCCCCCCAACCAGGTAGTGGCAAGGCTTCTGTCCAGGGGATCCCTGTAAATCAGTTTCCTCTCTGGTTCCCCTCCCTAGCCGAAGGTGGTGTGGATGAAGAACAAGATGGAAATCCATGAAGACCCCAAATTCCTCATAACCAACTACCAGGGCATCCTGACGCTGAATATCCGCCGACCTTCGCCCTTTGATGCAGGGACCTATTCCTGCCGTGCCGTTAATGAACTGGGGGAGGCCCTGGCTGAGTGCAGGCTGGATGTCCGAGGTGAGGAGGAAATGGTCCCACGCTGGCTGACCCTCATCCAGGGCCCTTGACAAACCTACCCAGATGCCCCATAGGAAGGGGCTACAGGTCCTGCAAAGGTCTCAGCTCAAGCTTCATCTTCTACCTCTCAAATCCCACCCAGCCTCCTGCCCTTTGCCCCTGGAGACCCTCTCCTATTCCCCAACACACCCCAGTCTCTTCAGTGTGGATTTATTGTCTGGTATCTCAGCCCTGTCCCTAACTCCAGCCTGAGGCCCACATTTTCATCCACATTGTGTCCCATGGTAGGGCCACAGAGTCACATTTTATTCCTACTCTGGGCCTCTGAACCCACTGAACCATCCTCTGAGAGAACTGCTCCCCCCTTGTGGCTTCAGTCCACACACACCGCTGGGAGCAGCAGTCCCATTCTCCCAGGGTATCCATTAGCATAGTCCGACCCTGCTTGATTGGAGACACTTAACCATGTTGATCTGCCTGGCCCCATGAAGCACGGACAGGGACTCTAGCCCCTCAAGGATCACTCCCCGGGCCCAGTGACCTCGTTCTGGATTCAGGCTGATCTGGATTGCAGTCTTCTTTGTGGGTGACTAAGTCATCTCAGATGTATCCCCCATTACAGGCTCCCTCTGACTTCTGATAGCCAGTAGTTTCTCAGGACGTCCCCATGTGGGATTTAAAACAACATTAAACTGTCAGGGGTGTGGTACACATCTGTCACCCAGCACTGAGGAAGCTGAGTTAGGCGAATTAAGAGTTTGATACCAACCCGTGCTACAGAGCAAACGCTAAATCAGCCTGAATTACACAGTATGATCTTATCAAAATACTATAAAGTGGTTCTTAGGACTCACATGGGAGCTCACAACCATCTGTAGTTCCAAGTTCCAGGGGCTCCAAAGCCCTCTTCTGACCTCCATGGGCTCTTGCATGCACCTGGATCTCATAAACTCAAGCAGGCACACATAGACATAAAATAAATGAATACATTTTAGAATGAAAAATGCAAAATAAAATGACCAGGCACGGCAAAGTACAACTGTAGCCCTAGTTGTAGGTGCTGGAGGCAGGGGCATCAAGAGCTTGAGGCCAGCCTCATCTGTAGAAAGTTAGATGCCATGAGACCCTTTCTCAAAAGGGCTACATGAGGCTCCTTCCCAGAAAAAAGAAAAGAAAAAGCTGTGGGGCTGAAGATGTGGCTTCAGTGTAAAGCCATGGTTCCATCCCTACACATAGTGGTGCATGGGAGAAGGAAGCAGGATAGGAGTTCAAGGTTACTCTCAGTCACATCAGCTGGGGCTACCTGTAGCCCTGGGGAGAGAGGGAGACACACACACACACACACACACACACACACACACACACACACACACACACACACAC